CTATACATCAACCACAACTATACATCAACCACAACTACTATACATCAACGACAACCACCACAACTATACATCAACCACAACTATACATCAACCACAACTACTATACATCAACGACAACCACCACAACTATACATCAACGACAACCACCACAACTATACATCAACGTCAAGCTCCTAAAAAGCGCCAAAGAATATAAAAAAAAATATGGAAACTCTTCAACAAATCTTAAACTTAGGGAGTTCTTCCGCTGTCAGCCAACTCCTCACTCCAAGACTTCCAACTTCCCCTGGCCCATCATCACGCTGCCGTCCGTCTGGTTTAAACCCGCCCATGATAGGATATAGCTCGCCCATGTTTGGTTTAAATCCGCCTATGCGTGGCTAAATTCCACCCATGTTTGGCTATATTCACCCCACGATGGATTAAAACCCGCCAAAGAAAGGCTTAAACCCGCCATCCTCAGAATATAATTTACATCCTTTCTCTACACCCTCCACCATCATCATCATTATCATCCATTCTATTAACTCACCATCATCATCATCATCTATTTTCTACACCCATCAACATCATTATCTATTCACTACACCATCACCACCATCATCATCATCATCTATCCTTTGTATCCCACCATCATCACCATCTATCCTTTGCACCCACCATCATCATCTATTCTCTACACTACACTCACCATCATCACCATTTATTATCTGCACCCACCATCATCATCATCACCCAACCCTTAACGAGTATGACAAATGCAGTTGGCATCGTTAAATTCACCTTCCTCCTCCTTTTCTACCTCCTTCCCCTCCTCCTCTTCACTCTCGTCATCCCCGCTTCAATAATGAACATTCTTGCCCTGATAGCCCCCAGCCCTCCAAAATATATCCCCCCTCCCCGCCTGCCTTCTTCAGCCCCTTCGCGCCAAATTCCTCCACTTCACTCTAACTTTTTCCAGCTACCAACCTTTTCCCGCCAACAACTTTTTCGCGCCAAAACTACAAAATTCTATTTTTCTTGCGACTGACCGACTTTGGCTGTGTGAGAGGGAGGGAGGCAGACGGCCCTTTTGCGAAAACTGCAAAACTCCGCTCTCTCTCTCTCTCTCTTCCTTCCGCCAAACTTTGCTGTACGTTGTATGGCCTTTTTGCAAGTTTTTTTTTTCCTGGACTATAAGTTTCCAAGTTATCAGAGCGTGAAATTGAAAGGTGGAGACCCGCTCTTAGACGCATTTTAAAAGCTATTCCAAGGACTCGTCTGAGCTGATGCCGACTCCAACCGACCGTGAAACTCCTCTTATATGCGCCAGATGGGTCGACCAAGACGTCGAGACGGTATTGGTCTAGTGTCGGACGCTCTTCTTATGTACTGGAGATGAGTTAAAGTTGTCGGCTGTAACCTGGCTCTCCATCCTCCCTCCCTTTTGCTGTAACATGACCCTCTCACCTCTTTCTTCTGAAGTACTGTAACCCTTAGTTGAAGCGTTAATATACCACTGTAATTCGGACTGAGGTGTTACTGTACCGCTATATCACCAACTGGGGCGTAAGTGTAACACTAACACAAATTGGGGCGTTACTGCACCATTGATATCTTAACTAAGGCGTCACTGCACCACTGTAATCCAATCTATAACATTACTGCACCACTGCAATCCAACTATAACGTTACTGCACCACTGTAATCCAATCTATAACATTACTGCACCACTGCAATCCAATCTGGGGCGTTACTGCACCACTGTAATCCAATCTATAACGTCACTGCACCACTGTAATCCAACTATAACGTTACTGCACCACTGTAATCCAATCTGGGGCGTTACTGCACGATTATAACGGCACTTCACACGCTAAAGAGCTGCTCCAATAAGAGACGCTCCCTCCAACGAGCCATTATAATGGAACTATCCTACTGGGGCAAACTGGTGGCGTGACGCAGGACCTGTGTTTAATGGTGCTCGTGGATGAATAGAGTGTAAGAGACCTACCATTACGTCTGTGGTGTTTAGTTCTGGAGAGAGAGAGAGAGAGAGAGAGAGAGAGAGAGAGAGAGAGAGAGAGAGAGAGAGAGAGAGAGAGGAAAGAATGGAAGAAACGGAAGGAGAGATAACAGGAAAGATATGGAGCAAAATTAAAAGGACGGAAAGAGAGAGAGAGAGAGAGAGAGAGAGAGAGAGAGAGAGAGAGAGAGAGAGTATGTACATTATGGGTGGCAATGTTTGGTGTAATTGCTAACACGGGATTGGCCAATTCGGAACCCTTGTAACCCCCCTTTAAATATTACAAGTACATCAAGGCATAACGAACAAACGAACAAGAACACACAGATAACAAACAAACAAACGATAACTACAAGAACACATCGATAACAAACAAAACAAGAATAGAGTACAAAGATAATAACATCAATAGACGACACGCAAAAAAACGGTAGTGAGCGCCCCCTTGCGGTGAGAGGCAAAAACTAACACGCGCGCTGGAGTCTAGAATGTAAA